ATTCTAAAAATTTGTCTTATAAATATTACTTTCCTATTTTTTCTGAAAACTCTCTATTTATTAATTACACTTTTCTTCATCAAAAACATTAACAACATCTACTTAATTGAAAACATTGACGAACTCACTTCTTCATTTCATAATCACACTTATCCATACTTTTCTATGTCATAACATATTGGTTCAAATTCTCCATCTGGTTATTCAATCATTATTGTTTTTTATTCCTATTTGACAAATTAAATAATGAATGCACATTACAACTAGATTATTCTTAATTAATATCATATTGAAATATCATTAATATTCTTCAAAAATATTATGAAACTATTTCACTCATCATACATAATTCATTACATATCATATTTGCATATTTTCTTTGATATTAGTCGTTATAATTACATGTTGTGTTCCTTCTTCATCTTTTCGATTATTTATATTTGAATGTGTTTGTAATACATCTATTGAAATTAAATAATTAATGTAATTGACTCTCATTTTTCAAAACATTTCTTCTAAAATAACATGAAAATAATAATTATCATACATCAAATCAATAATTCAATCTATCACTCCTGCTCATGTTTGATACATTTCTAATATCAATCTGATAATCATTTTGATTGTTGTTAATTCATATATAACTGATATAACCAAAATTACAACACTTGATAGTTATGTTCCAGTGACTATTGTAATGTCATCAAAGAAGTATGTACTTTACTATAAATTGTTCTGATGTGTTGCTTTGCATAATTACAAGCATGTAAATCCAATCAAATCAAACTATTTTATACATCTTTTGTTTCTTTTTCTTTCAATTTTCTTTGTTTTTGCAAAAATTTCTTTTGTTCTTTCTTCATTTTTTTTTCAATCAAGTTACTGTTGGCATTGTTCAATTATGAAATTACTCCGTGGTGTTATTCATATTTCTTTTATGTATTTATAGTTCTATCAAATTACCAAATATGTTGATTCTTTTATTTTGTTCATGTTTTTCTATTTTTAGTTTTTAAATTAATTTAAATTGTGATGATTATAAAATGCTTTTAATTATTCAATAAATATTGTATTGATTATCATTAAATAATTGAATTAAATCATTTCAATATTAAGTTATGATAAATATTCAATTAAAATACAAATTAAAATGATATTAAAGAATGAAATGAAATAATATGAAATATTGAATGGTTATAACCAAATAAAAACATAAATTACAATAAGAGTTATTTTCAATGTTATTATTATGAAATATTAAAACATGAAATATTTATAATTTATTCAATCTAATTATTATTTTTAAATAATCAAAATAACATAATTCGATTAATTCATTCATTATGATAGAAGATTGAATAAATATGAACACGAAAATAAGCAATGAAATAATGCATCTAAATAATTTACAAAAATGAGAAAAAGATGCAAAAAAATTTGCATCCATAGAATTTTCCATTTATTATATTTTGCTCCTAAAGAAAAATAAAAAAAATAAAAAGTATGATAAATATACAATCTGTAAATATTTATGTTTATATTTTATAACAACATGTACTTAATTTGTATAAAATATTAATGAAGTAGATGATTTGATTATTTTTATTTAATTATTTTTATTATTTTATTATTATGTTATTTATTTTTATATTTTTATATTTATTTCTCTGTTTATATTATTTATATCATTGTATTCTTCTTATTATCTATATATTATTATATTCTTTTTATTTTATTATTTTTATGTTTATATTATTTAGATTTTCTTATTGTTATTCTTTTCTATTTAGATGTATTTTTTTATTCATCTTTATCATTTTTATATTATTATCATTTATATCTACTTTCATTTTATATTTATTCTCTTTTGATTTATATTAATATTAATTTTATCTTTTATCTTTTGATTTTATTATTATATCATTGATTATCATTTCTCGTTTTATTTATCATTTATTCTTATTATTCTTTTGTTTTTATATTCTATATCATATATTCATATCATTTTCATTTATATTTTATCATTTATTATATGTTATAATAACATAACACATATGATTGATTATATAATAAATATCATAATGAAGTTATACATATAAATAATAAACATAAAAAAGAGTAAAATATTTTTTTTTCAATAAAACAATATTAATTATTTTGAATCATTAAATTAGACACTTGTTATTGAATATTTCTAATTTTTACATTAAAAATACACTTTTTATTTCTTCTTTATTTTCTTCTTTTATTACATCTTTGTGATTTATTATTTTTATATTCTTCTTTTTATCTTCTACTTTCTTTTTATTCTTTATTCATTCTTCTTCTTACTGTCTTTTTATTCTTTTATATCTTACATTTCTCTTCTTTTTCAATTATTTGCTTTTTTCGTTGCCTTTATAAAACATTAAGAATAGAATAATGAGTAACGTGTTTTGATACGTCAATTCAACAATATCCAATATTTATAAAAAAATGGTTAAAGTTACACCAAATAACTATGTTGTCATTATAACAAATAAATAATTGAGTTGTTGTTGAATATAAAATATAGAAATAATGATATAATAGATGTACAAAATAAAGAGAATAATGAATAATAAATAAAGAAAATTTATATCACTTTGATGAATTGTACTTTTATTTAATTTATGAAAAAAATAGAATGACAAAGAATTAAAGTATTGAATTAATCTTTGTCATTGAATTAATTCAATAAATAATTATTCTAAAAACAAATTCAAATGGATGTAATATCAATTTGATATACCAATTGTATACTTAATTAATAATTTGTAATTTATGATTATAGTTATTAAATGATATTATATATTGAAATGATATAATTGAACATTTCTATTCAATTAGTATAAGTAATGTCAAATATCTTCATATTATCTATGTTTATTTAAATCAACTTCATATTGTTATTTTAACATTAAACCAATAAACATCATTCATAAAATAAGT